ATAAAAATTGGCAGTACACACTGGCCATCAGCTGACCATGTCTCCAATATATTGGCATCAGTATCAGCAAAAGAAAAGAACAAGGTCGTGCGATCTCTATTTCCTACCACAATTCAAAAACGTGCATTTCAAGATAGCTGACTGCTTTAAAACTGCATCCTTTGCAAGGGTCTGCTCTTCAAATAAATACAAACACAGGCAAAAACCTTATCGCTCATCTTTTACTTTTGGGCACTAGGTGATAAAAAGGTAGAAAAGAACAAAAGCCGAGTTATTTTTAAACAATAACCAAACGTAAGACTTCAAATTGTTGCTGCATCCGATCTGGGCTGAGTTTTGACCCACGCTGGTACAAACGGGAATGTTGGCTGCACCGTTGTCCAAGCCGTAGGCAGGGAAACCTGTTGTAATTATTAGAATTTTTCATTATTATAATTCTTCACCAAAAGTGCTTGGTTGCAAGAGCCAGAAAATGGTGGACAGATTCTGTCTGATAGGAAACACTTTTTGGGCCCATGGAAATAAATTCACTGCTGCTCTTCCTGCACAATTGAAACAAAACTCAACATTTACAAAATTGGGATGTAACACTAACTAGGGATGCCCACTTGGGGTAAACAACAAAAACACCACATTTATTTCACCTTTTGACTCCTCGTGATATGAACGCACATCAAGAACGCTGCCGTGAAGCTCACCAAAACGAGAGGCACACCAGGCCGTAATATGACCATTCAACAAAGGTGTCCTAACATTACCCTTAAAAGGTGGAAGATTTTTAATAAATACCTTCAGAAATATTCATTTCATCACTAACCGGCGTTGTTTTTCTTAAAGAGGTTTGCTGATTCTGCAAAGCTTAAAACAGTTCCTACTTTAAGGGTCTGCCACTGACCTACTGAGTGTTGCTGTTTAGTGGTGAATACAATTTATGATTAATTATGAGACCAAATTTACCTCCATCACAAATAAACCATAGAAATGTCCTTTGGGCTAATTTGTAACATTTAATTAAAGCTGGTGTGGACTACGATGAACTCATTCACTGCCATTGACGACTAAATTCGTCATTTGCATTTTTTTTACTGAGTGGGCATCGGAACGAGCCCCTGCACTGTGAGAACAAACATCCCAGCTCTAAAGCCGATCTTCATCTGCGTACGTCACACATCACGTGATCAGGAAGCAGAAAATCCATGTGTTAGGAGATCGTTTTGGGCCGCTGCTGCATGGTTTTGGGCTGCATGGTGGCGCAGTGGTTAGCACTGTTGCCTCGCAGCACGAAGGTTGCAGGTTCGAAACTCGGCTTGGCTGCGGCCTTTCTGCGTGGAGTTGCGTGTTCTCCCCATGCATGCGTGGGTTTCCTCCGGGTACTCCGGTTTCCCCCACAGATCACAACATGCCCTACAGGTTATAAATTGTAAGTCGCTTTGGATAAAGTCGCTTTGGATAAAAGCATCTGCGAAATGAATAAACATAAACATAAACGTAAAAAAAGTGAGGTGCGAACCAGAAAAGCTTCTGCCAATCACAATTCAACAACGGATTATGAAAGAACGGATAATGCTTGAAACGCGCAGATTCTTCCTGATGTAAGAGGTGAGTCTCCGCTTTGTTTTGGCGTCGACATCATCCTAGAGCACAACGTTTTGTGACTCTTAAAAAAACAGTAAAACCAGTGAGAAACGCTGGCAGCGAAGGGCTTTACCGATCAGGAAATGGCTGGTAGCGAATGAGTTAACATCATTTTCTATTTGACTGATTGGTCAAATGAAGAAACCATAGACAACATTGCTACAATAAAAGCAGAGGAGAGCTGCTACGGGTGCCCGGATGTTCAAACAGGAAGTACTTACGCATAAAAATATGAGTTTCAATTTGTGAAAATAGACATAAATAACGATCCTGCTGAGTGGGGGGAAGATTTAAAACACCTAAGGTGTATGTTTTGGCACATTACTATACACTGCCTATGTGTTTTGCCTTTGCTCTGCCATTTTTACTTGCTCTGATGATCCTTAAAACACCAGTTGACCATGCTGGAATACGAACAAGATTAGTGGTTGTTCAAAACAAAATCTCTCCATGCAAATGGCTCTGCGATGCAGGTTTAGTCTCAAATGGCTGTTAGGGAGGTCAAAAAGTGAGAGAATAGACTGATGAACACACAGGCGACTTCCTGAACTCCACACACTCTCTCTGATTATGCCTTTGAGCCCTTTACTTGAGCATTTTAATTATTCAAACAACAGGAAGCTAAACAAACAAAAACATTACCAGACAACAACAATAAATAAACAACTTCCTAAAAAAGTATCTGAAACTTTTGTTGTTCTCAGCCTGAGATAACTGATTGTTCTTTTGGGAAAATGTTCTGATTAACTCAAAACTTGTGATTCTAACTAACGGTTTTCACATGAGAGGTCTGTCATTGCTGGTGTGAAATGGTGCGTGGTGATGGTGAGTTCACAGACCCCACTATAATAATCGGATTCCTTAGCTTCATTTTAAGTTGCTGTGATATTTAAATTTTTGTTTGTTTGTTTTAAACAGAATACCGTTTGAGTCTTTGATCATTGATTGGGCCAATTCTAAATACTTTCTGATCCAGTTCACCTGGGCACTAGGTGCACACATTAAACAGCCTGGTTTTGATGGTTTCATCCTCTGATGTTGGTTCTAGAGAAGGAGTGGATCAGAGGTCTGTTATCGTTTCACAGCCCAGCGTCTCACAGCAATTTATCTCCCCAGGTTTTCACACCGTCTGACTCATCGGCTGTCCTCGCTGATGGAGCCACATCATTCTTGCACTCCAGACATACCAAACTAAACTGAGTCTGATAATGAGATGACTCGGAGCCACAACAGCAGGAGAAAAACAAAAACATAGAGTCCGGACCAGAAACAATCAGAAGGACTCTCAGATATGGAGTGGTTTTAAATGAGCTGGAATTCCACTCTGATAAACACACCAGCCTCACAAATGTTTAGCAGCAGATCCATACCATCTGAAAGTGGATTTTTTTTTATTTGACCCAAAGGAGACAGGCAGACAGACAGACAGACCTGACCTGAATCAACCCATCACTTCCTATAGTCGGAACCCCGAGGCACCCAGATGACAGATCAGGCCCATCTCAGAACATCCTGGCTGGAGAGACTGGAACCAGCCCAGATTCACACAGGAAGCCCAGCTCCTGGGTCTGAAACTGGATCTGATAGAACTAGAAAAAACCCAAATGATTCATGATCCGGTTCAGTCCTCCAGTGCAGTCCACCGGAGCTACAGCAGGAAGTTCAGGACTTCTTATAGCTTTAAAAAAACAAACAAAAAAAACTGCTTGAAACAAACATAACATTTCTATCAACTGTCCCACCGGCAGAGCTGGTGATCAGAATCAGCATCACCGGTTCTGTAAACAGCCTATTCAAAACTCAAATATCTGACTTTCTTTTTGAGTCCCTGAACTCACCATTGCTATCGAGCTTTTCACTTCTAGGATAATAATTTTCAAGTAGACCATAAGTTTTAAACGGGCATGTTGTTAATTATAATCCAGACGACATTTCAGTATCAGCAGATTAAAAATAACTATCTGCAGTCAAAACCAGTGCATCTCTGTGGTTTTCTAATGATGTTTTACTTGTTGTTTGGACCAATGACTATATATATGTATTTTTTCACTAAACTTTCTTGTTTTACTTGGACTTTATTGAACTATGAGGGCTTATTTATTTAGAGTGAAGTAATTTGCATAAAAATCTGTTAACATTATTGATTGAAGCAATCAAACCATGAACCAAACCGACCCAATTAGGAGCTCGCTGGTCAATGCTCCTCTGCAGAAGCCTCTGGCTGGCTGGTCTGGGGTTTATCCGTCGTCTCATACATGTAGGGTGTTTTATGTTGACCTAAATGATAAAGCTGCTCTCTACAGCTCATGTTGTTGGGTGTTTGACCTCCTTACGTGTTTATTTCTTTATGAACCTTTTTAGATGTTTCTGTCTTTCTGGAATTTCAGCTTCTTGCACTAATATTTAACGTGTGAGGGTCTACTGATGTCCTGAAGTAAAAAACAGACAAACCACTGGACTGTTTTACAACACTGTGAGCTTACCGTGAGAGCGGGGGAAAAAGGGTCAAATCCGTGTGTGTCGTGCTCAGTGCGTGAGAGATGACAGCCCTGCCTGCGCTAGCTTTTGATAGAAAATAGACGGTGAAACTGTAGGATTAGAAAAGCCTGGCAGATCTTCCTCACACTGTCCCTGAACTTTCACGGACTCGCCCATCTTCCTCCCAACAAGGAGGCTGTCGCTGGTTTACCGTCAGGAAACAGCAGAGAATGTTTCAACTAGCAGAAGCTAACCATTAGCATTAGCAACTCCACCACACAGAACTCCTCCAGGCTTGAGTTATTTGTGGAGTAATGGCATATTTTCTCTATATTTTCTGCATCTGGAGTTTAGAAACCAATTTTAGAGACAATGTTGCTTCTTTTCTTTCCTTCTATACTGCTTCACTAGCAACTCTTCCAGTTTTACAAATGCTGGTTGGTTGACGACGACGACGTCCTACTGAGTTGACCACAAGTCCTGCCCAGCGACTCTACCGAGCCATTTCTGAGTACACATCACAGTTCAGGTCAGGGCCAGATTAACACTTCGTTGTACCCTGGGCAACAATATTCAAGGGCCCCATCATCACGACCCAAGGATCACCATAATATGGTCACATACAGAATATGTTACTGTAATATGCAGTAAATATACTCAATGCTTGAATGCCTGACATCACGTAACCCGCTCAGGATAACCTTTGACCCACCTTGTGTGGACTGACCAATGAGGAGAGGGTCTTAACTTGAGGCCCTCTCTTCATTGGTCAGTCTGCATGAGACTGACTCTCAACTGACGTTCAAAGTCATAGACAGCGAAGCGCCCCTGTGCAGCGCAAAAGCCCGGGTGGACAGTTTGTTTAATATAGGGTGACCATATTTCCATTTCCAAACAAGAGGACAGGTGATCTGTGCCTATGATGTCACACTATGGCAATGCCACACAAACCATGCTGGGACCCATTTTTTTTGTAAGAACTAAATTAATATCAGATTCTGCCAATAAAAGAGCTCTAAAACAATTCATATGTAAATATTTAGCATATGTATTGCAAAATCTCATTTTTCTGCTTTAGTGCTGCAACAAGGTTTTATTAATAATAAATTATTATACCTTTTGTTTTCCTACAGCATCGGTAAGCTTCCTGTGCACAGATTATTAAAGGTGCTTGTTTCAGCTGTGAGATTAGACGATAGGATCAATGAAAAAATAAGTTGTCACAGACTCCATGGAAACTTTCAGAGAATCCACAAATAGTGGCTTTCAAATGGTTTTGTTACTTTTTGCAAGTTTAGAAAAGCAGCAGATGAGACAGCATGTCTGATAGTTTAGTTTTTCATCTGATAATATTAGAACATGTCAGTAATGTCTGAGGGGCTTTTACAAACACTGTATGACTAATACTGCTGAAGAGGGCATGAATTACACAGAGGCTTCTGGGGAGCCCAGTTATGGGGGGGGGGGGGGGGGGGGGGGGTCATTTTGCCTTGGCCCCCAAAATGTCTTGAAACAGCCCTGGGTGTGTGACTGAGTTTTGAAGGTGATCTGAATTGTATCAGATGTATAAATATGACATGAGTAGAACTTATTGTTTTATACAGGTAAAAACGCGTAGTGGAGATAAATCTACCTACATTTTACTTTTCAACACTTTGTTTAGTTTTCTTGTTTTTATTTAACTATTTCCTGTCCTGTCTGTCTCTCATCTTCCTGCATCTCCTCTAAACTCTCCAGAAAAACTGCTGCCTGGATTCTTACTTTTTCACCTCATCAGTTACTTTTCAGCAGATCAAAGGGATCTCCTGACCGCAAAGCGGAGTGCGCCTTTCGTTGCTGCGTCAGTGAGGTGAAATCACCACAGCACCGCGCAACACAGGTGATGAGCTCCGCAGTAGCAGAGCGCTTCAGGCACAAATAAGACAGAAAATAGAGAACATGTGCGGACATGAACGATCGTGTGCTAATTATAGTTTTTTTGGTTGCGCCACTTTGAGAATGGACCGTGCGCTGGAAGCAGCAGCCTGGAGCGCTGCACAACAATGCGCTGTGCCGCTCTCTGTGCTCTCTGCTCAAAAGAGTCCATAAATGATGTAATATAGGTAGAAAACTTGTTTCCGGCTCCCCTGGATGTGTAGGTTATCCAGCTCCCCCATAATTCGATCCCTGCTCCTGGATGAAAAGCCGGACATTTTCATCAATACGACCGCGGACCCCCAGTCCGGACGCCCGGACAGAGAGTGAAAAGTGGACATGTCCGGGGAAAACCGGGCATACGGTCACCCTAGTTTAATATAATGCGGGAGATTACAGATATGCCTACAGTATTTTGCTCGTGCTCTTGCTGCCCTGGGCCCCTTAGAGTTCGTGGGCCCCAGTTGCCCATATGGTTAATCCGGCCTTGGTTCAGGTCTAGGCTGGCTCTTCAAATGTCCCTGAAGTGAACCTTTTGGGCTGGCCCGAAGAAATGGAGATACTGCCAGCTCTGTGCTGTAGACAACCACCTAAAGGCTGGGTGGTTGATTAGAATTCCTGCTTTTCTATCATAACCAGGCAGCCATGATGATCATATGTGTGGTGAGAACTAATCTCTCTTTTTCTAAACTGAGGCTGTTCTGGCAGCCATTTACAATGGGTGAGACATTAACTATTCAAACAGAAACATCCCTTTAATGGCCCAGAAGTACATATTTTCTGTTAGTTTTCATCAGAACCAGCTCGGTTCAGTTTTTGTACACTGCAGCACTCGTGCGAGTCTGTCAGCTGTGGATATGTCCACATGTCAAACTGCAGATGTCCCTTGCTGCTTCAGGCATGAACACATGCACACTTTACCTTAGACTGAATGGGACATTGAACAAGTAGCTTCCCTGCTATGAGGGTCAGAAGCTGAGCGGGCCAACATGACCCGAATAAGAGTTGGTCACATGTTTCCCTGGAGCTGATGCAGGGAGGACAACTCAGCATAAAAGACCCATTGTCACCCTGGTTGGTATCCACTCGCCTGCAGTGAGGAGCTTCACTGGCTGCTATGAATACAAGCATATAAACAGAGCTGATATATGAAAGTGTGTGTGTGTGTGTGTGTGTGTGTGTGTGTGTGTGTGTGTGTGTGTGTGTGTGTGTGTGTGTGTGTGTGTGTGTGTGTGTGTGTGTGTGCCACAACCTAATATAAGTAAACTTCCTGTAGGCAAAATGTATCCGGCCATTTGACCGTCCTAATGCAAACAACATGTAAAGTGACATCCTCACACTGAATGATACCTCTCTCTCTCTCACATACACACACACATACACACAAACACACGTACGATCTCTCTCTCTCTCTCTCTCTCTCTCTCTCTCTCTCTCTCTCTCTCTCTCTCTCTCTCTCTCTCTCTCTCTCTCTCACACACACACACACACACACACACACACATACACACAAGCACACTTACGATACCTCCCCGTATATATGTCGATGGATACCTCTCTCTCTCTCTCTCTCACACACACACACACACACACACACATACACACAAGCACACTTACGATACCTCCCCGTATATATGTCGATGGATACCTCTCTCTCTCTCTCTCACACACACACACACACACACACACACACACTACAGTCCTGTTGTAGGGATGCTGATATTTGCAGAACTGCTGCTTCACATCATGTTACAGCTTTGGTTAAACTACAGATGGGGAGGAGTTACTCCACTTTTTGGAGCTATTGACTATGTTATATTGTTATTTCCACATAAATGCACCTCCAAAGCACGTTTTAGCTTCAAGCATGCCTTTTCCTGTCTCTGCTGCAGATCCTCTGCTGGCCTCCACCCTGCTAAAGGCTGATACTTCATGATTATTCAGCATTGTTTCTGTCCAGGCTGAGGTTTTTGTGAAAAGCTGTCAAAACCAAGATGGTTACACAAATCTCAAAGGAAACAGACAGAGCCATAAAACAGGAGACCAACGTGAATGTATAGTCTAATGAGACCCTTGGATTGTTTAATCTAAAGAAACATTTATTTCCTTTGATTTTAAGGATTTATTTGGGGGACAAATCTATTTTATTTTATTTTTTCATCAAAAGCATTATCAGTTGAAAGTGCAGGCAGCCACTGGGAACAGATGGTCTGTCGTTTCTGGATGCTGAACAGCTGAATAGAGGAAACTGTTGGAAGTTGTAAATCAGACTTAAGGGAACAAACACTCGCTCAGCAGAAGACAGTTTAACGGGTAAGAATGTTACTCTGAGCGAGGATGCACTGCTAATCCAGTGTCGAGAAACGGGACACAAAATGTGAAGCTCTGGCGGTGAAACCCTTACTGGCGTTAGCAGAGGCTTTGTGTTGATTTGTATGAAGCTTTAGGTTTGACAACAGGAAGTCAGGTGTGGAGACCTGCGGCGTCAACAGCAGCTGACTGAAGCCTGGTGTTTATTTACCACTAAGTCAGAAGCTTTAGTTTCATATGTCTGTTTCGTTTTTAACAAACAAAAATGACAAATACTTTGGTTTAGCGTCTCAAATGCACATTTTTGGCCAGATGGAGTAGTTATTTATTCATGTGGATAACTGATCAACCTAAACAACAAAGTAGTCCTTTAATTAGCATCAAAGAGGATACATTTAATATCAGTAAAATCATTTATTTTTGCCTTTAAGACTGAGCTGACTGGGCTTTTATTAGTGTTAAGAGACACAATCTTGTGATTTTTGACAATGTTTGACAATTTTGTATTAAGGTTATGGAAATTTTACAATGTGGCTGCGCAGTGACACAGTGGTTAGAGCTGTTGCCTTGCAGTGAGAAGGTCCTGGGTTCGCTTCCTGGCCTGGGATCTTTCTGCATGGAGTTTGCATGTTCTCCCTGTGCATGCGTGGGTTCTCTCCGGGTACTCCGGCTTCCTCCCACAGTCTAAAAACATGACTGTTAGGTTGATTGGTCTGTCTAAATTGTCCTTAGGTGTGAGTGTGTGTGTGATTGTTTGTCCTGTGTGTCTCTGTGTTGCCCTGCGATGGACTGGCTCTCTGTCCAGGGTGTACCCTGCCTGATTGCCCGTTGACCGCTGGAGATAGGCACCAGCCTTCACCCCCTGACCCCACATGGACAAAGCGGGTTCAGAAAAATGGATGGATGGAAATTTTACAATGTCAGAGTTTAGTCAAAAAGTGTCTTAATTATGTGCCCTGCTGAAAATCATTAGGTCCAAGACACAAAGGAAACACCAGGGTCATCATTTCATCAGCAAACGTCCTTAAACAACCCGGCTGCCTGCCAGAGGAACCAGTTCGCCGGCTCCAGCTCTGCACCACGTTTCCATGTGTCAGCACTCGCTTTTGCTACAGATCCTCAGTGACTCATTTCTGCATCAAACTACCAAACCCGGACACGTCTGGAAAATGAATCGAACTAGACAAGCTAGTAGGTTGGTGAATGAGTCCAGGTCCCAGGCTGCAGAGCTGCTGCTGGTCCAACAACACCCACAAACATCCAGCTGCACTTCAACCTCCAGTAGATAAACCCTAAAAGGCTTTCTGAGAAAAAAGGAACATTTTTATGCTGTTCTGGTCATGTTTTAGACCAACAGAACTACTGTATTTTTGTTTATAAAAAATCATCAAACAATTCCAGCTTAAATGTAATTTCTATGCCATATTGTGCAGAATCCACCTGGAACAGATGTAACAGATGTTAGCTACATGTGGGGATGATGCATAACAACACCACTCACTGCTTCAGCGCCATGCGATGTTTCAGTCATGCTGAAGTTTTCTGCTGCTGATGTTAACGCAGATACACTCCCTGGTGTTGTGTCACAGTGGACCGGCAGTTCTGGCTAACCTCATAATGTGGTTTTTATCCTAAATAAAAAAAACTTAGAGCAGGAAAACTT